CGGCTGTTTCAACCCAACCTGCTGAAAACTAATTTTCTATCTACATACATTACAAGTGTCATCAATCTGCTTGAGATCACTAGACGTAAATTTTAAGTGTTGTCTGCGACTGGTTTAGGAAAGGATAAAGTTGGTTTTCCAGCGTCTTCTCGAAGACTTCTCTGGACAGAATCGATGCTAAAATGTATTGGCGGCGTTGTAAAATTTTCGCCACATTAGTCTTTCATATAACGTCGTGTTTCAGTGTTCCGCTCAGCGATTTCTATCCTTATGGAGTCAGCGAGGGTGATAATGCACTTCCGCCAAATGACGACGGCAGCTCAGGAGAAATACCAATCTCAATTCTCTTCCCGTATTTTGACAAGAATCACGGTTCCTTATATGTAAGTAGGCAGTGTTTATTTGCACATTTGATTATGAATTATATTTACACTCAGAGATATATTTCATAAGTTTATTTTTTAAAATATTGAAGTGCCTGCATTTTAAAACTACTTTGATTGTACGTGATATCAGCGCTAAACTTTGCAAAATTGAAATTCACAGATTGAAAAAGTTTCTCCTTTTCTTACTTCATTAAAGATTCTTGTAACGCACTTTAAATAAGAATGTTTCGAGAAAATTGTACATTGATAGCGCCTCTGATTTCTTGTGGATTAAAATCCCTATGAACTACCAGCGTGACAGTTAAAATTTTTGTCGGAACCACATTTGTCTAGCTTAATTAAATATAACTGAATGCTGCACTCATCAATTATGTTTTAAAACGAAGTATGATTGTCCTTTAAAATTCTATCTTTATATTTTTGTGAATGATACAAGTTGCCCGTTTATTCCGCCATATCTTCACTGCCCAACAATATTTTCAGTTCTATCGCATTGTTTAAGTACTCCAATACGCCACGAGTGACCTTTCTACTCCACCAATGTGTTTCATACGTGGTGTACGTCATGAGATATATTAGGCTCTTCTTGCACAGAAATCATCGCGACCTTAGCAGAAGACGAATAGAACGCATGCAAACAAGAGAAAAATACTTGAATTCAGTATACAAGACAAATCGTGCATTAAAAGTATTCGTGATAGTCTGGCGGGCACGACAGTTTAGTAGTTGTTTCACTAAGTACTTGAGTATTGTCGAAATATGTTCAAGGGTAATATTTCAGACATTTAAAACAATCAGATTATCAGATCGAGATCTTTGTCACGTGATAGTTGATAGTTGCTTATTAGTTGATGCGGGAAAAGCCAGGATCAACTTTCACAATAACAAATCGAGAGCGAATAATCTTACAGTTTAAGTTGTTAGAAATTTGACAACTAGAGAGTCTAATGTTTTTATTTTGATGAAAAAATAGCGAGTATCACAATTTTCATTTTATTTTTACCTTCGACCAGAGCGGCTTATCGCCTAGCTGAGTCCACGTTGGAAAACCGTAAGCTTTTCCTCTATGTGATCGGTCAGCGGATTAAATTAGAAGCATATATCCTTCAATGGGGGTCAAAACTCCTTGGGAAGTTATTGAAAACATGTCCTAGTATGCCCAAATATACTAAAAAACTAACTTCTTTTAGCGAATTCAGGCGTGTTAACAGAACCTCTACTCTCTCAACCCACTCACAATATTCGTTAAAGTACGTATTGGTAAAGTTTACGAAGCGCATCAAATTCAACTTTGTTTGAGGGAGAAATAGTTCGATTTTAGTATTATTGCATAAGTGTCCCAAGACTTGCAAACTCTATTTTAGTTTATCTGAGTATGATTTAACACATGTATTGTAAAATTAAATAATTTAAACGGGGAAGTTGTGAAGAATTATGTTTCATAAGGCTTCCAGGGAGATTATCGACTTTAGAATAATCTTCATCTCTGATTTAACTTTTCTCTGTGTGTGATTTCAGGTGAACACAAATGGAGTTATCTCATTTCTGGGTGCAGTGAGTCAATACACCCCAGCTCCATTCCCCTTAGGGGACAACCGACGTCTTATTTCGCCATTTTGGGGTGACGTGGACACCAGAAAAGGAGGAACTGTATTATACAGGGAGTCTATTGACTCTGTATTGTTGGATCGAGCTACAAAAGATGTTAGACGGGCATTCTTAAATCACCAGAGATTCTCAGCCTCTTGGATTTTCATAGTGACCTGGGACAGAGTGGCATTCTATGGAGCTGAAGGAAACTTTAAAAACAAGGTAACAGGGAAAGATAAAGTTTCCGCTTTGTCACAGGCATCGAACTTCTGACCCTAGAAGTGCTACCACTGGCTTCATTCTTTTCTTTTTTACACATGACGCTCTCCAAATTGCTGATCCTAGCAGTAAGCAGGACGCGTGTTACATAAGAACCTTGTATCGGTCCAGCTCTTTTTCTTATGTCCCATGCTTGTGAAAAGACGTAAAACGTCTTTCCCCACTTCATTACTGAACGCAAAATTTACCGTCTTTCCTATTCTAATTTTACAAACAAGGTAACATTAGTTAAAACCCCAGCAGGGCTATGAAGACAAATAACCTTAATTCACAATGTTTTAAGCAGAGGATCTCGTGTAAAAGGGGAAGGGATTTACAAAGAAATTGCAATTTTGTATCTTTTCAGGTGAACAATTTTCAAGCAGTGCTGGTTACAAATGGACGTCATTCATTTGCCATATTCAATTACAATCAAATCGTGTGGACAACTGGTACAGCTAGCGGAGGGACTCAGGATGGATTGGGCGGTACCCCTGCTCAGGTGAGTGTCTGAATGTAAAGTAAGAGACAATACACTGACAAGTAAAAGAAGTGAGCCCACTGGCTTTATTACCACGATCTAAAAAAAAACAATTTTTGTAAACTTTCAGGTTGCAATGAAATGCTCTTTCAAATAGCTTATAGCCTTCAAATATTCTCTCTCCTGCCCTCGCCCTACAGTTGTGTAACCTGCGTGAGCACAAGAGTGCTGCGACAGGAGCGACGAAGTCCACGGGTTTCGGGCCTACCCGTGAGGCGAGCGTGCAAGAAGTTTCCAAAGAGTCTGCGAGGGCTCTGCCCCGAGAATGAGACCCCTCTCAGACCTCTTTCTCGCCCGTTTTCCTCGCCAACTCGAATCTCAAGGGCCTCCATGCTCATACCGCATCTTTAATGAGACTTCACTTCTCAAAATGTTTTGTTAAAGAACATATGGCCGATGGAATACCCAAATATCTTTGGACCTACTTAATTTAATGAACTATAACCATAGCACATTTACCGTTGTAACTCTAAGAAAGCTTAAAACGTCACCATAGAGAAGGTACTAATCCATGCGCTGAGCTCGCTTGGAAAAGATACTCATAGATCGGCAGAGTTTAACCCTTTTCTCTATCTGCAGCTGTGGCCGAAATATTACACAATGATCAAGATGTTACCTTAAATGTATGGAATTGACCGTAGATTTGACTTGGAATTGCAGGGCGGGTTTAATGCTGGAGATGGGGTGAGGTTCTTCATTATCCCTGGCTCCCGAACAAATAACATCCTTAATCTTCCTTCCACCTCAAACGTTGCTCGAGACGGTCAGTGGATGTTCCGAACCGATGAAGCAAGTGTGGAAGCTGGGGGATGCAACACAAAAGGTACAAATTGTAAACACAAGTATAGTTTAAATAACGGAGTCAAAAGCACAAATCTGTAGATGTCGCTGGAGAGGACGTACAGCAAATATACCTTAAAAGGGAAAAATAACTTGAATTAAGAAAATCTAAATAGGGAGTCAATGGAACAGACCAAGAAACTTTGGGAAAAGTGACTTAAAACTGTACGGAAACAATAATTTTATCTTCCTATAGTTTTTGTTACTTAGCTTCGTTTTTTAAACGGCACACAACCCTCTGTAATCATCATGCAACATTTACCGCGAAGCATAAAAGTGTTGCAGATTGTACTATCCTTGCTCCACAAAATGTGTCGTTTTCAAAAAAAGAATCTAAATGAATGAAGAACCGCAACATTTACCACGTTCAATAGGCGCGCTATCGTCAGTTTTTCCTCACTAATTTTTTTTTTGGACTCGCGCGACTGACTTCTCCGATAAGAGGGGCCACTCGTCGTCTAAACAGTTCCTGGTACCGTACTTCGGTTATACGCTATGCTAACATTGCATTCATCTGCTTTCTTCTTATTTAACAGGATCTCTCACCATATCACCCCGATCTGGGATTATGTTAGGAGGTACAAACGTGAAAATGAGTGGACCTTGCTTCACTGCAAATGATAACATTGTGGTTCAACTCGACAATGATGTCAACATTAATGCAACTTTTAGCGATGAGCTAACGTCATCAGTTACCATACCAGTGTTGAACAAGACAGGACGGCTGTCATTCAAGTTATCTACTGACGGCGGAAATTCATTCAATTACAATGGAGCGTACACATCAGGTACGTTATCAACAACAATATTTTTAATTCTCCGTTGAGCTCATTTTTGTCATCAACGAAAATTGAAAAATTAAAAAGAAAGAACAGAAATTTTATCTTTTTAGACAAATGTTTTAATGTCTTTGTTTGACAACCAAGCTCAAAATTTGAAATATAAATATATTTAATCTTCACTCAGGTCGCTCTAGCCATAAGATCCTCAAGTTCTCATGAACGAGCCATGCCTGGCTTAAATAGTTCTTGGTGTGGTAGAGTATCTGATGGCGAAATGAAACCTCGCTGAGATTCGAATTTTCACAACGCTATCAGATGTTCATAATATATTTCAAGGGCAACATGCACCATTGGCTATATTCAAGTGTCCAGGTCGTTCAATTTCTTCCTTTTCTAATAGGAACATTGAAAAATGTTATCTGTTTTGTTTCAGTTCCGATAAATCGATACACTCCCGAGGTCCAGCGAGAGGACGGTGATACATGGCAGGAGGATTCCACGGT